TTGAGTTACCAGTGCCCAGAGTCACAGACCTCCAGAGAGTGACCCTGCAGGCGGGAGGGCTCTCTGCTAGTCTGGCTGTTTGCCTCTTTTGAATGAAATGAAGAAAATGCAGCCATTAGAAGTACAACAGGGCCCTGCATGGTGGCCTAGCAGCTAAAGTCCTCATGTTGAATGCACCGGGGTCCCATATGGGTGCCAGTTCTAATCCCGGCAGCTCCACTTCCCATCCAGCTACCTGCTTGTGGCCTGGGAAAGCAGTCAAGGACAGCCCAAAGCCTTGGGACCCTGCACCCACGTGGGAGACCTGGAAGAAGTTCCTGATTCCTGGCTTTGGATTAGCACAGCTCCAGCCATTGCGGCTGCTTGGGAAGTAAATCATTGGATGGAAGATCATCCTCTCTGTCTCTCCTTTCTGTATATCTGACTTTCCAATAAAAGTAAAATAGAAATCTTAAAAATGAAATACAACAAAAGCAACAGGTGCCTTTGTAAAGCCCCACTCTTTCGGAGTATTTATAATTTGCAAGTTTCCAACAGCACCAATTTGAAAAACCTAAACAATTTAAAAACCTAGCAACCCTGTTGTGCTGGGGGAGGGCGGCCCTATGTGTGTGGGCTGTTTCTAAGATGGGTCTCTATTTACAATTTAAATGCAGTGTTCGGAACAGTTGGCATCAGGACTGATAAAGCCAGACTGCCTTGCTCTCCCATCTTGTCGCCAGCCCCACTCCTGCGTGAGGATGCACGCGTGGCTGTGGACAAGGGCGGCGTTTCGGCTCTCATGCCTCGAGCGTCACGTGTGCCTGCGCTGCAGCCAGGCCAGGCCACGCCCTTGCCATCCACCTGGCTGTGGCGCAGGTTGTGCACCTGCCCCCCTCAGCTGACAGCCGAGCCGCTCCTCACACACTGTCCGGTCTGTCCGGGGCCAGGACTGGCGCCTCGCACGTGTTACTTTCCAGACAGGGCCTGGAGTTGGGCTGGGGTGTTCTGGGTGGCATTAGCTCCAGGTAGATGTCACCCGGCAAGCTGGTACACATGGGGCCCGCTGGTTCCTGCCTGGCAGGTGGTGTGAGAAGCAGGTATGCCATGACACAGGCACTGCCCTCCTCTGGACCCACCTGGGAGGTCTGGGGGTTCCTGCCCACCTGTGCCGCTGGGCTCACCTGGACCTGATGCAGCCACCCCCTCTACTATCTCTCACCCCACTTCTTTCTTCCTGAACTACGGACAGGGAGCCCGAAGAGCCAACCACAAGCCCAGGAGAGCCGGGTGCCTTGGGAACAGCCCGTGGAGTCAGGAAGAGGAGTCTACCACCTGTTCCCTGATTCAGAGGACGCGACGTCTCACGTGGTGGTCAGGACTCTGGGCGCTGTCCTCTCGTAGGGTAAGGGCCTCACATTTGACTCAGCCACTTGCTACCCAGCCTCTCAGTAAATGGGAGAGCAACAGCAAGTAGCATAGAGGGGCTCAGAGGGGCCTGGATCCAGGACTCCTGGGGTCACTGGAGGTATCACTGGGTTGCCTTGAGGACGGACTACGTTGGCTAAGCACCCTGGACAGCTCTTGGCACATGGCAGGCACTCAGTAATGCTATCCATGGTCACCATCCCCACCACCAGAGCTCAACCACTCCCTGAGAGTGACAGCAGCTTGCCTGGGGGTGGGGACATGAGTCCCAGGAGAGGAGGATGCCCTGCCCTGCTTGGGCATGGACCTGGACAGAGGTGCCATTACTCAGGGCTGAGGTTACCCTAACTGATCTTGGGATGGGGGGAGGTTCAACAGGGAGCTGTACTCCCTGCCTGGGCCCTGGTTCCGAGGCTCTGCCGTGCTCCCTTCCAGGCCCGTGGCTCTGATGCTCTGCCGTGCTCCCTGCCCTGGCTGTGGCCCCAAGGCTCTGCGTGCTCCCTGCCCTGGCTATGGCTCTGAGGCTCTGCGTGCCTTGGCTGTGGCTCCGATGCTCTGCCGTGCTCCCTTCCAGGGCTGTGGCTCCGATGCTCTGCCGTGCTCCCTGCCCTGGGCTGTGGCTCCGATGCTCTGCCGTGCTCCCTGCCCTGGGCTGTGGCTTCGAGGCTCTGCCGTGCTCCCTTCCAGAGCTGTGGCTCCGAGGCTCTGCCATGCTCCCTGCCCTGGCTGTGGCTCAGAGGCCCTGCCATGCTCCCTGCCCTGGCTGTGGCTCAGAGGCTCTGCCATGCTCCCTGCCCTGGCTGTGGCTCCGAGGCTCTGCCATGCTCCCTGCCCTGGCTGTGGCTCCGAGGCCCTGCCGTGCTCCCTGCCCTGGCTGTGGCTCTGAGGCTCTGCAGTGCTCCCTGCCCTGGCTGTGTGTGCCGGGCAGGGTGTCTGGTGAGAGAGAAGCTTTACCCAGCAGACTCTGGGTGTGTATATTCTCAGGACCAGACTTTGGGGAACCTGTGGCAGGTGCGGCAACAGAAATGGCAGACACACCTGCTAGGGCTGTCAGCCACGAGATGCATGGAGGCTGCCCGGGTTGCTCATGGCCATTTTGGCAAAGCTCATGACCTCAGGGCATGCCTGGGCCACCAGGCAGGAGAGCAGGTACTCTGTGCTGCTTCCTCACACAGCCCCAGCTGCTGGAGAGCCTCAGAGAGGGCATGTCTGCGTGTCTCAGGGAAGTCCTTCCAAGGCAATCCCACCATCCTTTCTTTGGAGGAAGGCAGGCAGGGCACCAGCAGGCAGCCCTGCTCTCTCCTCGCTGGCCTTTCAGGGACTAGTACTCGCCGGATCTGCCCTAGCCAGCCCAGCACTGATGGAGAAGCAGCTGGAGAGGACGACAAGGGCTGCAGGCTGGGGATTCGGAGAGTCTTTGAGGCCTCTGGGAGAGGCATAGGGTCGGGGCGGGAAGCCCCCTCATCCCCCTGACGGGTGCTGAGCCTGACTGCACAGCAGGCAAAGACGGGCGTGTCACACCTGTGTTCAGAAGTGGCCAGAAGATGCTGCTGCTGGAACTCCTGCCTGCTGCCCCACAGCTGACTCATGCATGTGGCCTCTGTTTCTCTACATTCAGTCCGCATGGGACACTGGAGGGTGCGGCTGGGACGCTGGACAGTGGAGTGTGCAGCTGGGACGCTGGCCCTCACCAGCAGTGGGTACAGTGCTGGCCAGGACAGCGCAGGGTGTGGCTGGGATGTTGGCCCTCACCAGCAGCAGGTACAGCACTGGCCAGGACAGCTTCATCAGGTGGGGAAGGAGGGGCAGGACTGGTCAAGCCAGGGTCCATGAGGCTGGGGGGTGAGATGCAGAAGATGGCAGTGGACACGGGGCACACCCTGACTTGTTGGCTCCTTGCTCTGGGAACAGTCTAGAAAGGTGAAGGGCCTCAACAGGGACCCTCAGGGAGCCAGGTCAGGCACACAACATCAAACCCTCCAACACAGTGCCTGCACAGGCCTAGGAGCTTTCTGGCTGGCTGTATGGAAGGTGCTGGAAAGTGCCAACACTGTGTGCAAAGTGATCTCCTTGGCTGCTGAAAATTTAAACTCTCTGGTGCAAAAGGTGTCAGGTGAGAGTTCAGGAATGATGGAGGGATGTGGGGCAGGGCACCCACCAGCAGCACCGGACCCTCCTTCCCACTCCTCAAAGGTCAGCAAGGCTCGGCAGGCAGGGGACCCCGCTTGGAGGTGGCTGCTTCCGCCACCCCAAGACAGCGACCCGGTGTGCTTCCCCACTCAGGCTTTTGAGGCGAGTGGTGAGGAAACAGCTCCTTTCAGTGTCCTTGCATGGGAGCAGTCATTCGCAAAAGTTTTTGGAGCTAGGCCGGAAGCCGAGGGTGGGGAGAAGGTTTGGAAGGAGGCATCGCAGTAGCACCACGGAGCCCACGGACGAAGGCTGTGGTGGCAGAGCCGCGCAGGGCGGGCCAGCCGCGCCCACTCCAGGTCTGGGACGTGGGCATCTGGGACCCAGGCCCCGCAGCTGCCTGCCAGGGAGCTGGCAGCGTGGCAGAGCCTCCCCTTGCGCTGACAAAGAGTGGAGCAACTACTGGGACAAAGGAGCGGCGCACGAGGCGCGGGACTCGCGCATGGTGCCGGCTCGCCGCGGTTCCACTGAGGCTTCCCCAAGGCTCTCCCTTCCCGGAGCGCTCAGCTGCTCTCGCGCCTGCCCTGCTCCGGCCTCCAGCCCAGGACAGGGGCCGGGCCCTGAGGGGAAGGGTGGGGCGCGAGTCCCAGCCCTGGCCACAGCACCGGCCTGCGCGCGCTCCAGGGAGTCCCGGGCCGGTGGATTTCAAGGGGCTTGTGTTCTCGCCGCTGGGGAGGGATCGGAGAAAGCAAGGACCAGACTGTGCCCCTGGGGGCCCAGAAACCCCGCCCAGCCACTCGCCTGGTCTCAGGGCACAGCACACCGGGGGGCGCAGGGGGCGTCTGAAGGCACGCAAGGACAGGGACAGGGACAGTGCAGCCCAGCTCAGCCCCAGCCCCAGCCCAGCGCACCCAACCTCAGCCTCGCGCACCCTACCTCCGGCGCTGCCAGCGCCCGCGCAGGGCTCCGGGACCGGCGGGAGGCGCGCCTGTGTGTCCTGGGTTGGGGTGGTACCGGGAACACTCCCCCCACCCCCGCCAGGGCTTGAGCAGAGCCCCTTCCCTCAGCTCTGGCGCGGGGATCCCCGCCCTCCGCTCCGAGGTCCCCGCGCGCCCCCTGCCCACTTTGCCAAGGCGAGAAACCAACCAAGCCGGAGACAAAGAAACTCCTACCTCCCTTCACTCTCGGCCCTGCCACCCGCCCGAGACACTCCCCGGCGCCCTCCCTCGACCCCGGCGCCACCACGCGCGGACCCCACCACGGAAGAGGCCGGGTGGACCAGTCCGTCTCTGCTCAGGGCACCCCAGGGGCCGCCCCTGGGGCCGTGCCCCCCGGCCCTGCGTCCCCTGAACCGTCCCGACAACCCCCCTCGCGCCGCCGCCCCCACCTCTCCAGAGGAGTGAAGGGGCGCGGCGCACACAAAGCGGGTCGCGTGGGGCCCTCGCCCGCCCGGCGCGGAGATTTACCCGAGGTCTTCCTCGATCTCCGAGATGTCCGCGAAGATGAGGAGCAGGACCAGCAGCGCGAAGGCAGCCAGCACCCCGCTCCGGCACTGCAGCTGCATGCTGGTGCGCGCCCTCCGGGGCGCAGGGGCCTGGGCGCCACCGGGACCCTGTGCTCCCGAGTCGGGCGACAAACACGGGCTGCTCCGGCGCCCGAGCCCGCGCTCCTCCCGCGCGGCCGCCCCGCCCCCGCCCCGCCCAGCGCCCGGCCCCACGCCAGGTTTTGACGGTTGAGCTCGCTCTGCGCCCTGCCGGCCTCCGCCCTGCCACTCCTGAGTCCCACACCTCTGGCTCGAGCCCGCTTCCCCCCAGGCAAGCAGCCGCCTTCCCGTCCTCGCAAAGTTTCGCCTGAACAAAGGCCGCCACCTGGGGACAACCCCGGGCAGCCGGTCCCTGCAGGCTCGACTCTAGGGACACGGGAGGGGAGCTCCAGGGTCTGGTTAACTTTGGCCGCCTTTGTGGGCAGGCCATGGTCCTAACCCACCCTTGCTGGGGTGCTGCTGCGCCCTGCAGGGCAGCCTCAGCTCCCGCCCTCCCTGCCTGGGCCTCTCCCCTGCCCCAACCAGCAACAACAGAACTCCTGGACGATCTAGATCCTGGGACGACCTAGACCAATGAGGACTCGCATAGCCGCACCCCAGATGCCCAGACACCTGTTGCCTGTAGTACCCTGGGATGGGAAGGGTCCCGCTAAGTTTTTACTGCAGTTGGATAATTGCATCTCCACCCTGTGCACTAATTGGAACAATTCTTGTCATAGTCTTGCACTGTGTGGAAGGCTTCTCGGGTCTGAGTGTGGTAGGAGTCCCGCTGGACAGGCAGTGGGGAACTGTCCCCACCGTGGACGCCACTTGGACAGCGCGGAACTCGTCTGCGGCCTCAGAGCAGCGTGAGGAGGGGCTGCTTGCAGCCTGGTCCCTCAAGGAGGCACCTGCAGAAGAGATCTTGCTGGTTTCCCCATCAAAGCACCGTGGGGTCCGGGGTGTGAGGGGATGCAGGGCACAGGCTGCCTGGCTGCGGCTGGGGGACTCGCAGGCTCTGTCCTGCAGGGAAGCCAGGCTGCCGGGGGCAGGACGGGGGGGGGGGCAGGACCGGGGGGAGCAGGACCGGGAGGCTGCGTGGAGAGCAGCGTGCCTGGACTCCCCGAAGTGTCTGGATGAAGTCTCTCCAGGGAAACGGATCAAGTACCCTGCCTGGCTCTCTGGGCACATCAGGGATCTTCTTGGTGTGAGGCAGGCTGGTACTGGGTTCTGTGCTGGCAGTCCCTAGGGAGCAGGGCAGTTCCCCCCTGTGCATCCAGCCCTGTGCTCAAACTGGCTTGGTGAGTGTCTTGTTTTTCTGGGATATTAGTGGCATCTGCAAGGGGGCAGGGGGGAACAGGTACACCTGCTGTTTGACGTAGTCCTTCTTGCACCCCTGTCCTCGCTGTGGCCCTGTGATGTGTCAGTGCCTCCCTGGTACCCGACCCTGTGCTGGGGCTGGGGAGCCCCATAGCGACAGCTCCGTGTCCTGCACTTTCGCAGAGTCCACTCTGAGCTGCAGCAGAGCTGGGTCTGCTGACTGGCAGGTGCTCACCGGAAAGAGCAAGAAGAGGCAGTCGTGCTGCACAGAGCTCCACGAGGCACTGCCGCCACCCCAGCCGACAGGTGACAGGCATGACTGTGGCAATGGCACCTCCAGTTCCTACCAGGTGGCCCGCGTGGCCAGGAAGCAGCACCCTGCCCTTGCAGAGCAGTGTCCGAGTGGAGGTGCAGGGAAAGGAGCTGGCGAGGTGGTCCAGAGCCCACCCTCGCAGGGAGAGCCACTGCAAGGCGAGCGACCCTCGTGATGGCAGCCTGGGGGCCCCATCTGTGAGCTTTGGGGGCAGACATGCTGTCCCCAGGGTCCTTGCCGCCCACGGGAGTGAGGATGGGCTCCCTGCTCTGGACGCAGCCTTCATGGGTAGGCACTGGGAAAGAGGGCCACTGACACGTGCTCTCTCACTCCCTCTGCCCCTGCCCAGTCCAGCTGCCTTTCAACAAGGAGAAGCCAGTGTCCACTGCTAACAGTTCAGTTTGCCCTGCTGAGTGTGTCAGCCATTGCTGAGGGTCTAGCAAGTTAGTATTAACGAGGATGGGGGGCAGGAGGGGCCCAGGAGTCACGCACTGCAGAGTCCCCAAACTGAAGCTGCCATTTCCATCCTGACCTCCACTCCCTCGCCCCAGGCCTGCAGGGACAGAGGGCCCCCGGCTTGGTGGAGCCCCTACCAACCTGTGTGGGTGGGGCTTTCCCACAGGCACACACCCTGACTCAGATGCCATCCATGCATTGCCCGGGAGGCCACCCAAGGTCCCGCGGCTGGGATGGGAGCCTGGGTCTCCTGACCGTGGCTACTTCCAGGGTGAAGGGGAGCGGGCATGTAGCAGTGGCCTAGGCACTTTATCCCTCTGAGTCAGCCCTCACTGTGACTGCGTCAGAGAGATGCTGTCTCCATTTTATACCCCAGGACTTGAGGCTGCACATGGCCCACCACGGCAGTGAGCGGGTGTAACTCAGTCGTCCCCCACTTCCTTCCTGGCTGGGAACCCCACGTGGGGTTCTATGTGGGCCTGAACTATGTGGCCTCTGCCTCTCACTGCGCCCCGTTAGTTCTGGCAGTGGTGTGCTTGCATAACCGCTGTTACCTTAAACTTGAATGGGAGCTGAGTCTCAAACCTGGCTCATGCAGGATGTCAGCATTGCAACAGTGGCTCAAGCTGCTGTGCCGCCAGGCCATTCTCCCAGCATCTTCATGTTTCCTGACCTCTGTTTAGGACACGGTCTATTGGACTCTAAGTTTGTCTTAATTTTTAATCACATCCCTGGTCCATCTGGCCTGAGCCACCTCTCCCACACCATGAGCAGCAGCGTCGGGAGGCCGTCCTGTCCTGAGGCTTGCTGATGGTGCTCGTGGCATGTGGTTCTCTCTCCTTTCTTTTTCTAAATTTTTTTTTTCCCCAAGAAATAATGAGAGTTCTCCATTGGTTCACTCCACACATGCTTGCAACGGCTTGGGTTGGGCCAGGACATAGCCAGGAGCTGGGCGCTGGGAACAACGCAGGGAGGCTACGAACGTGGCAGACACGCAACCAGATAAGCCATTACTGCAGGAAGCCAGGTCCAGGAGCTGGCACTGAGACCTGAACATAAGGACTGCTGGGTCAGACACCCACCATTCCTTACGAACGCTCTGGGCAGGGGAGCCCCCAGGGGTATGTCAGCATCTTCCAGGATCCAACCTATTGGATGTAGCACAGAGCCCTGGCGAGGAGGGCAGCTGCGGAGGCAGGTCCATTTAGGTCCCCTGTCCCTCCACTCTGCTCAGGTGGGTCCACCTGAGACAGCTGCCTTTCTTCCCAACCCCTCCCCCCCCACTTACCACCAAGCAGACTATGCAGAGCAGAGGGAAGAACAAGAGCCGGGGGTGGGGCAGGAGGCTTGGCCGCTGGGTCTGAGAGTTTGCATTGGGCTTGGCTGCCAGGGCTGGTGACTTAGGTAAAGGTCGCGTCTCTCAGGGGCAGGTGCCCAATGTGGCTCTCCCCTGGTTGCTTATTGTGTCCTGGGCGCTTAGGGATCCAGCCGCTTCCCACACCTTTGTTTTCTCCCTGCTTTCCCTAGCCCGTCACAGCAGGATGGAGGAAGCCTGCCTCTAGCTGTGACTTGGACAGGCTGACCCCTCTCGAACAGCACCCACCGACTGCTGTGCTTGGCCCCCTCACGTGGCATGGGCTGAGAACTGCTCTCTGAACAGCTCTGGGTCTGACCCCACACGCATTAGGGGACCTCACTTTACCCCTTGCTGTTTCTGGGACCTTGATGTTTCTTGATATTACATGGAGACATCACCACAGAACTCACGGTCTTGGCCAACGCACTCAGCCAATGTGGAATGCTGACGTCGAGCGTGAACTCTGCAGAGCTCTGTTTGTCCGCAGCAGACTTCAAAGGGAGAAAGGGTATTAGGGCAGATGCTCGCCGTGCCTCTTCCCAAGGCTAAGAAAACTTGGCTTGCTCTTGATTTTTCTTTGCACCTTCCAGTTTTACAACTTTCCTACAACCACCATGGATTACTCTGTAGCAGGAAAACAAAAGTCACTTAAAATGGATCATGCCTGTTTTCTCTGCAAACTTCTTAACCCTCCCGTTGATGCTCCCTCAGCGCCCGCGTGGCTTTGCTGTCACAGCCTCCAGTGCCTGCCTTTGTTGTGGGCGTTGGAGCTGTCCTTGCCTGTAGCCCCTGGAGTCCTCTGTGGGATGTCCTGAAGCTCAGCAGAGGCCCAGCCTTCTGAGCCGGGTAGCGTGGTCAAGGAGAAGGGCCCAGGTCACCCAGCACCACAGGGTGCTGGCTGCCTCGCACCCCAGTACTGGTGACTGGGCAGGCCTAGAGAGACGAGTGGCTGTGAGCGTTGGGGTTGGGGTGCAGTGTGTCCCAACAGGTATCATGTGCTGGGAGGTTGGGCCCCGGCCAGGCTCCGGGAAGTGGTTTGTGGGGCTTATGAGCAGTGGGGTTCACAGCCAGCTGCAGGAGCAAGAAGCTTGCAGACGAAGCAGTTGGTCATGTGGTCCTGGGTGGCCTTGCAGGAATGGGTCAAATGCAATGTGAAGCCCTGTGGGCCTCAGGGAGGGGTTCCTGTGCATCACGCTGGCAGTGTAAACTTGGAGGAAGGACAGTGCCCACTTGCTGCTGGGCTGGCTTTTGCCATGGGTACCACGGGACCCTGAGTGGTAGGCACGCAGAGGTGGGTGTTTTCTGCCTGGAGACAAGGTGGGCTACTCTCAGAACTGTTGGTGTCCGTCCCTGGTCACAGTGTCGGTGATGGCTGTGACGGGCACACTTCCAGGACCTGGGCAGCATATGGCAGGCAGCTGCCAGGTTCCCATGGAGTAAGGACTGTCCCTTTAGCTGCGCAGTGGACATGCTCTGAGGTGACAGGAGGCAGCAGGGTCACTCCCTGTGGAAAGGCAGTTTCCATCTGGCCTCAGGCCACGTGTCGTCACCCCAGCAACAACTGGGCCGTTGCAGAGTCAAAGTCATCCAGACATA